TTACTTCTTTAGTTCGTTATTATTCAGTTCCCATTGCACATTGCTCTTAGGAGACGGGAAACTGCGAGGTCATCACTCACTGTGCGATTAGATTATATCTGTCAGTGTCATTAACCACTGTTGAGTTGAGTCCCGGGTCCCCATCTGGCACTTGTCAACCAGACGGCGTTTCCACCATGATGAACCTGGACGTTGCTGCGCTGTGATTGTTTTTGCGCATCCATGACCTTTTGAGCTATGCTGGAGAGTTCACGCGTGAGTGGTGTGTTTGGTGTGTGGGGATCCGACCTACACATTCTCCTGGTCTTCCAGCTTGGGGTTTGAAATATTTGTGGCTTGTCCAAAAACGCAATGCACCGGCATTGTGATGAGGCTTCTGAGCCGGAGGTGTATGCCGAATCGCCCGCCGCAGGGTGTCATCATCTAGGTTGCATTACTCGCTGCATACACCGAAGTAGGTAAGAGAACACAGGTTACTCCAGATGGCTCCGTTCCCCGTCGGGCACTTCATCTTTTCCCACTGTTCGTCTTCCACCAACCTCATCAATAATACTGTCCCTTCGTGACGGACTGTCCTTGTAGGCCCAGTCGTTAGGTCTGTGTTTTGGTCTCTAATAGTGTATCAGTCAAACTTTTCTGCTACACCAGAATGGAGAAGACAAACGACCTTGAGGGAACTGTACTGCAAACAACTGAATGGTTCCGTGATTCCAGAAAACATGGTTTCAGTATAGAGGACAAGTTGGTAATGTGGTGAAATATTGGTAGCTCGGGTGAGTTTATTGGTTGTTGATCAAATGGCTGTTGATCCGTTCGCCGAGCTTGGCAATTGGCTATATAGCTATATAAACACACGCAGGCAAGGAAGAAGTACCCACCCAACTGCGCACTGATGATGTCTCCTCGTATGGTGACGAAACGTTTGCAAGCCAGTTGCCAAGCTCGGCGAACAGATCAACAGCCATCTGATCAACAACCAATAGAGGACAAGTTGTTAGCAAAGTGGATTGTTCGTTTTGAGACAGTCCTCCTCCTCAGACCTCCCTTTTGAGGTGCTTGAGTGTAAGACTACTGCTGTGGGTTGAGTCACATTGGTATGAGGGACTTTCGTGTTCCATCCGTCCATCTTCCAGGTGTGCAACTTTCTGAAAGTTCTGGTTTAGTCATCTGCTCGGGGGGTTCTGACTTTTNGTTCTGGAGATTCAGACTTTTGAGGTAATTCAAATGTGTCGAGAAGAATCCCAAGTGGAAAATCAGGATCGAGTGTACCTGTCTTTGAAACAGAGGAAGTGCGTAGCTAGTCAGCATACCGAACCCATGGGGAGGAGCCTACGTGTACCTCAGATAACTTTTCCAGCACGGTGTACAATTATGCCCAGGGTCCACTTTTCCACACCACCGCGATAGTCTTGCTAGAACAGATTTGCCAGGTATAAATATGTTATTTACAGCACTGTGATGTTTGAACTGAACTACCATATTTGTGTTTCTACCGGTTGGTGAATGTGGTATTGAACGGGTGACGTCAACGGGCAAACGGATCTTTCGGCTCGCAAGTATCTCCGTCGGAGACTTACTATGTGGAACGTGAACATTTAGTGTTGCCCTGTGACTCGGTATAATTGTCTCGATGATTTCCGGTGTGGTCCCCCCTTTGAGTTTTAAGTGTGCGCGTTTGAAAGTGTTCGCAAATCTTTCCACTTGGCCATTTGATGGAACAGTGGTGATCGCACTTGTTGTATGCTATTTTCCTGAGAGAACGCGGAAAATTCAGCTGACGTGAATGCACTACCGTTGTGAGAAACAATGACATTTAGAATTCCAAAGTGGCTAAACTTTGAAATGGTAGCACAAGTGGTAAGATGCTTCATACTAAATACCTCCGACCACTTGCTGTAGGCATCTACTAGGATCAGATATCGTTTGCTGTTGATTGGTCCAGCAAAGTCAACATGAAGTCAGCGTTCAGCTGTAGCACCCTTTCGGTGCCTAGCTGCCATGCCACCCGAAGGAAGCACGAGGGCTGGGATACTGCCAGGTTGCCCAAGCTTAGACAGGGGAAGTCGAGAGGCGGAGTTCGCATTTGAAACACCGACCTTCCGGTCAGTAAATTTGCGCTCTTACCACTTGGGCCATCTCGCCCCACACATGAAGTCATGACCATGGGACTTCTGGAACATACCATAAACTTAACTCCGCTTTCCGAAGGTACTTTGCAGATAGTTCGCATTTTGAGCACTTGCGTTTTCCACGCTCCATTAGCGGACATAACTACACGTCAGTGCCTTCATATGGTTAATACCAAGATGTCCGAAATGAAATTGTCTAAGGACATCGATCTGTAATTCTGGAGAATAATCAACCGTTCTGCGAAGAGTGTGCAACCATCGATTTCGGACTGTGCGGGTCGGCGTTAGTAGAACGGCTGAAGTTGTTTATCGAAACAGTGTGTGCGGTAGAAATACAGTACTTTTTGAAGTAACAGGTCACGATCAGCGGCGTCGCGAACCATGGCAGAAGTAACTGGAAGTGCACGAATTATATTAGCAATCATTGCGTTATTGCGGTTACAACAGTATTCTCGGGTTGTTGATGTTGGAGATCCATGGGTCTCGATAATGCATCAGCCTGGCCAACAGCATCAGTCGATGGGTATTCGATGGAGAAGTCGTAGCCCAAAAGCATTGCAGCCAACGTTACAAACGGTTTTCTGTGTAAACAGGGATGTCTTTATTCGATCGGGAAACACCGAGAAGTGGCTTATGGTCAGTGATGATCATAAAATAACGTCCATAGAGCATTTTCTGGCGAAGTTTATCGCAAATCTTCGTTTTCGCTCTGGTCATAATTACGCTCGGTAATTGTTAGAGATCTCGCCGCATGAACATTCCTTTTGCGTTTCGGTCGGAGACAACGTGAGAGATGGCAGCTCCAATGCCACAGTTGGATGTGTCTGAAACAACAGTAATGTCCGGGGCTGCATTGTAATGTGTGAGTTGCAGATCAAAGCTGAGAAGTGACTTTAATTTGTCAAAGGCGGACTGGCACTCATGTGACCAGTTCCGAGTACAGGATGCATGTCTGGCAAAAATAAACTGTAGTGGCTCACCAAAATGCGGAAGGAGCGCAAGGTTGCTACATCCGTCGGTTCTGGCATTCGTTGTATGGCAGAAATATTTTCTGGGTCTGAATGACAACCATTTTTTAAAAATGAATCCAAGATATGTGATGGATGTCGGGGGGGATGCACATCTCTCTGCACTTAAACGAAAACCATATTGCAAAATTCGTTCGAGTATACAATGCAAACGAGGTAAGAGTTCTTCTTGACGAGAACCTCTGAGAATGATGCCATCCAAGTAAGCGGCAATTTCTGATATACCGTCTATCATGACATCTATTGTTTACTGAAATAGGGCTAGTGCATATTTTACCCCAAATGACGAACAATTGAATTGAAACAAGCCGCGATGTGTATTGGTCGTTAGATGTTCTGTGAAGTCATCGGAGATTTCTATTTGAAGGTGGGCATCAGCAAATACAGCTTTGCGAAAAATTTTCCACCATTGAGCTTGGTGGATAGATCTCCTGATGTCGGTAATGGATATTGGTGAGAGCCTGAGACTGCGTTTAGTCCAGTGGACTAATCAGCACATATGCACACTTTGTCATTTACCTTTTTGATGACAGCAATAGGAGCTCCCCAATTTGAATAGTTTACTGGCTGGAAAGCTTCAAAAACGAACAAGTTCATTCTCAGCGGTTGTGAAGAATCAGTGTTGAATACTGATGTTATGCTACCAATGGTGGCGATGATAGCATCAGGAAAAGTTGGTCCTTTTATCGGAGGTTTCAATGTTCCTAACACCAGTTAGGCTTGTCTCCACGCTCCGCGAACAGAATATTTTCGAATTCAAAATTTTGAAGGCATTGGTTTGGCGTATGCTAATACAGCACGTTGGATATCCTACAAGATCAAGCCCGTGGCATTTTTGTTCTTCTGAAGATGTACATGGTAACACTGCAAATATCCCTCTAGAGAAACGGACTAAACAATCAAAAGCAAAGGAAAACTTGCGTTGGTGGTCTCTATAGAGGAATTCTCTGAACATCGATCTTGCGAACGTTTCCATTTTCTATTTCAAAAATCTCGATTTTGTGGGGGGGGGTTGTACCTGGTTGAAGAATTTTTAAATCGTCTTTATGCGAATGCAAGCTGATCCAAAGTAGTATGTACGAAATGACATAGGGTTAAACAAACCTACTCAGACGGGGCGAAACATTTCGGAATACTAGTTAAGGTACTCTGAATGTCGTTCTAGGAAGCGAGCACGCCTACCGGAACGCGTTGCATGGGGTACTGGGTTGGTGGCAGATGCAAGAGAGACAATTGGGGTTGTCGGACAGGTAGAGACCGACTAGATTGTCGGGGTCGTCTTGGGCTGGTAGGAATTGAGAGATTGGAGCTTTCTGCGTGCCAGCACATTGCTATCAGTACCCTATCATTAAATGCGGTGCTGGTATCCATTGGTCTCTTCCCGGGTTCGGGGCGACTGGTGGCTCTACCTCTCGTTCATTCAGGCTCATATCGTGTTTGTAGGCTTGCACATTGTAGCACATCCGGTTCCGCGCGAAGTGGTTGGGTTGTCACGGCCATACGTTATTGACTAGTGGTCCAGTCGGACAAATGCTGTTGGTCTCTAATCTGCCCGTCAACAACAAGTAGTCCATTGGGTACTTGTGCAGAAAAAACGGGTTGTGTGTAACATGATTTGCTTTTCCCAGGAGTCACTGCAATCGTCCGTAATCCAGGGGACGTTTTTTATAGGTCAATATCGGGAGATCGGTACAGACCTGTTGATTGGCCTAGGGAGGACAGCTTCGCAATGCAAATCCACAAGCAGGCCTGTCTAGTCTATATATATTTAAACCATCGATTAAACAAATTTTCACTCATTCCAGATTATCTGTCCATCTGACTTGGACGTCCTTCTTTCATCATGTCATCTGCTCAGGTTCCGGAAAACCTGAAGTCTGTGGTTAAGTTCTTGAAGTGCGCAGAGCAACACGACACCAGAGATGTTGTTGTTGCTTATTTCTGCCGCTTGTGTGCTTTTCAAAAGGGGTACGCATTGGATGCGTCCTCACCCAATTCGAAAGCCTTCCTCACCAAACTCATGTGCAAGCTGGAAGAAATGAAAGCCAGTAATGCGGCGAACGAGGCGTTCAGTAGTGAGACAGTCGGACTGGCACATTTGGAAGAACATGCGATTAAGTTGTTTCAGTTCGCTTACAACAGGGATGTGAATGCGGACTTCACAAAGTATGTTCTTCTCTGGCATGTCGTCTTCTAGTGTTCTCCACAGAGCCACTGTACAATCTTTTCTCACAGCTGGCGTGCTTCTGGACGTTGCTACAACACTTGGACAACCGACGGACGAGGTATTTCTTTCATTTAACTAGGGGTCGTGATTACCATGAGACGTGTTTTTTCTCAGTTGGAGAAGATGAGAAAGTATGCTAAATGGAAAACGCTGTACATTACCAACTGTCAAAAGAACGGAGAGGTACCCATTCCGGGCCCGGCCGCTGCGAGTCAAGATTCGGAATTAGACATCGACTTCGGTAAGTTTGCATAGTTGCCGTTTATTTAGACCAATATCTGACCGTCCCATACGATTCGGAACTAGGAAACTTGTGTGCGGTGTACCTCTAAAGTGTGGAGTGCTATTGAGACCGTCTCGAGTCGACGGACAATTGGCAACTTCGTTGGTAAGGTGACGAACATATTCGTTATGGCTTACGATAGACCATTTGAATTCGCTTGCACTCATCTATATAAGCGAGCTGTGGTAATTCGCACCAGGATACTGTTTGTCATACATGCAGCTGTAATAAGAGCTTCCCGAATTCGGCATATATGATCTGTACGAACAGTGCGACACCCTTGTGCTTCCGCGGGCCAGGCGGTTATCCGTCGTTCAGTATATATGCATAATGTATAATATGATAATACAATCGTTTAGCCGTAGTACCCCTTCGGTATCTAGCTGCCACGCCAGCCGAAGAGGGCAGTGTGTACCGATGAAATAGCAAGCGTTGTGCCAAGTTCTATAGGTTCAGGGGGAGTTGGTGAATGCCGTGTTTCACTGCATCTCACCATGTTCAGACCTTTAAGAAAAATGCAACGCAGACTGACAGTACGAGAGTGAGCCAGCGATCGGTCCCTATTCTTTCGGATTTGTGCATTCTTATGCGGAAGCTTTCTATGGATACTTTTCAGCCCCCCCTCAATAAGGAACAATAACAAGTATGGAGTATGCCGATTATGCTGTCTCGTTCCGTAATGTACATAGAATATTAACGTATACGTTTCGCATGCGTGCTTGCGTCACAAGTCAATCCCCGCCAGAAATAATCCTTGCCGGGCTCAGCTACTATTCCCGGTGCTTTACAGCACACATCTAAAAATTCTTCGTGAGCCTGGTATCGAAGTGACTCTGTTTACAGTGGCCGCGGTAAACTCGCGAGCTCTTCCCTCGAATTTTTGCACTTCCTATTGATTCGAGCGTGGATAACCCAGATGAGCGATGCAGTTTTCCAGTGTTTTATCCAACTTTGCCTAGGGAATGTTTTGTTGTAATTAGGCCTCAGCTTAGTAAATCACTCAAGAATTACCTCCTGCCACAGTTTTACCCATCAATTTGTGGTTCACCAAGATACGTTGGGACAACGATTCATCTGATATCTGAGGTGCATGTTGCACCCTGTCCACTGTTCTGCTGGACGATCGAAGATGACAGTACATGCGGTATTCAGAGCTGTGTACTTTGTAGAATTTTTGACCATTTTCTTCTGTCTCTTCAGATTTCAAAGTTCCTGGAGGGCTACCGACCGCAAAGACGCCCCAAGCCCCACCAGTTGCAAATCAGCCGAAGCCAGTTGTTGATCCAGTCGTCCCCGTTCCTTCAAATCCGGACACGCGCTCTTCCGTTGATAACACCAATCAAATCGATTCCGAGGTTTACGTAGCCGTGGAGAAACAGATACGCTTCGCATTGAGTGCGCTTCAGTACCAGGATAAGAAATCCGTTGTGGACAACTTGACCAAAGCCTTAAAACTCCTTTCCAGCTAATCCGAGAAATGGCATTGTGATGGAAGGTGGACTTTCATGACCTACACCCCATACCTCACAATCCCCCATTCCTATGGAATACGTTGAACTCTTCGCGGAATATCTATCTTACTTGATAACCTTTCGTTACGTTTTAGGTTGCCTTTCGCCGTGCCTCATAGGTCGTTTTCTACGTATATGATTATAATTCATCTGTGTCTGTGATAACGGACAACGTTGCCGTTTTCTTGGCTATTATCCTGTTTCCACATTATTACACGTATTTCCATTCCCCATTTTACCGAGCGGCCGTGAGGGTACCTTGATTGCGAGTTTGTCGGCTTTTCCGCGGTTGTGAAAGTATTCGCGCTACCCTTGCGTTCACTGCTTAATTACTACTGTTAATCGGTTTTATCGGATGTCATGCAAACGACGAATCTGATCGAGCCGTTATAATAATTGAAGGAGATTTCCCGAGTAAAACGGTATATTTAGTTCCTCTGTCTCTTGTTCATCCGGTCCACTTAACTGTTCGGCCAAGCTGTTGCTCACTGCGTAAGTTGAGGTTGAGTCTGGTCAAGCTCTGGAACTTTAATATGGGTTATCCTTGTAAACTCTTATGGGACACGGAATATAGGTTCAGCGTAGCGAGCTGTTCACCCTGATGGAGTTTAGTGGTTGTCCTTTATGCTTCCTCCAGAGTTGCCATGAGCTCAAGGTCTGCATGGCCGACTCCATGTGGAATCTGACGTATGCAGATCGTAATGAGGGGATATGGTTTTAAACAACTGTAAGGTGATCGTTGGCTTGTTCTCTAAGCTGGGCAATTTGATTGCAAACGTTTCATCACCGGTCGAGGTGATATCATCAGTGCGTTATTGGGGAGCGTAGTTATGCGTAGCGGTGGGTTGGTGATTGTGCGTTGGGTAGCGTTGTGCGTGTGTTAATATACGTGCTGCTAGCAGGGGATGACCTTTGACCGCGATTAGTTGTTCGGTCGGGCGGTTCAAATTGGTTGCCCGGTTGTGCTGTGTTCCCATTCGCCGATGTCCACGTGACCTTTGAGCTTGGCATCCCTTCCCGTCGTAATCTGGTCGATGCTGGGGTGACCTTTGTCCTTTCGAGTCCCGGCTTGTGACCTTTATTGATTTACCTCCAAGGTGTTCCTTGTTTCTTTGTTTGTGAATCCAATATTCCGTCTTCCTTGAGTGTTCCGGTTGAGATGTTGGTCTTTTGCACGTAGGGGTGCGTAAATTGGATCCAGTTCGATGCACCGGTTGATCCAATTTGCCATGGAGTGCCATGCTTCCAGAAATTCTCTTCCGTGTCTCCGTATGCCAAAATTTTTGCGTTTTCTAGATTGAATTTGTGGCCTTCTTGGTTCTCGTGTATGGATATCAAGGACAGGGATCATGTCCCCTGACGGCCGCGTTGTGTTCCTTTATGCGTGTGCATAGTCTCCTCCCAGTTTTTCCGACGCAGAATTTGTTGCAGTTGAGTTGGTACATCACATTGTTCTTGTTGGTTTTGTCTCGGTTGTCCTTCGGTCCAGAGATTAATTTCCCTAGGGTGGCATTCGGTTTGTGAGCCACGAAGATTCCTTTTTCAGCCAATAATCTGTCTCTGATATATTCTTGATGTAAGGCAGGACTACCCTAACCAGGAACCGCCCAACCGAACAGCTAATCGCACGTATATCACCACATGCGTAGCACTACTCAACGTAACACAACCACTAACCCACCGCTGCGCTCCCCAATAATGCACTGATGATGTCACCTCAATTGGTGATGAAACGCTCGCAGTCAAATCGTCCAGTTCAGCGAACAAGCCAACGACCATCTACACGACCTGAGCTACCGACATTTTCCTCTATAGAAAACTGTACGGTGCATCGGAGAAGTTAAACATCGTACGTGTTGCCAGCGATAGTAGAATGAATTGCGTTGTCCCTCCGTGGCAGTAGTCGGTGGCGGTCAAGAAAATAACTCCGAGGTTTTGGAATGTGAGGGGGAAAATGTGGTATTCCTCAGCTTTGCAAGGTAATTGCTTATCTATAGACTATTTGTAGGCCACTTGAAGTACAAGCCGACCCTGAAGCGGCCTGGTTCGCTTCCGCATCTCTACGTCGTCGACGTGTTTAATCCGGCTTTTTCTAATGCGCAAGAGGTTTGTGTGCGGGAAGATCTCTTGTATTTGAACGTGCGTTGTTCCGGCGGTGGTATTTTGTGTTCGTAAATGATCCTCCACCTTGTTTGGAGTGCGATTGCCCGACTTTGCTGAATCGGACCGTCTACTCCGCTTACAGGATGATGGGATAACCTCCATCGTGTAGGGGCAGTTGAGAGGTTTTAGGAGAACTAACACAGCGGCGTGGCTGTCTTCGGCAAAGGAAGGCAGGGTTCTGAGATGTGTTTTGCGTAGTACACGTGGCGACGCTTCTTTGAGGATCTCAAATTGTTTCCCGTCACCGAGATTAAAGACTGAGATAAGTGAATGTGTTTGGACTGAGGCGGACATAAACGTATATTGGTTCAGTGGAGTATCTGCTCGTCAAAGGAGTTCGTTACAAGGTCCTTCGTGTGTGAAGGATAGGCATAGCTCACGTGGCCTTCGTCGGTCGATTGACATGTGTGTACGGGAATGTCGGGTTTAACGTGAACCATTTGGTAGCAAGCTATGGACGCTTCTTCTATTCTTGGATCTGACCCCGTGGTAATGCAAACAATATTAAATAACCTAAGTAATTCTGCCTCGCGGTTCGGCATGCGCTTCACACCTGCAAAGTGTAAAGTGCTACTTCAAGACTGGGTGGGCTCGAACCCTAGCCTCATGTTTGCGGATCAACCGATTGAGGTGGTAGACAAATTTGTTTACCTGGGCAGCTGTATCAGTCCCGGTGGTCTGGTGAAAGATGATATTTCCATCCGGATTGGGAAGGCCACAACGGCTTTTGCGAACCTACGTCACCTGTGGCGTAGGCGTGACATCAGCTTCTCTGTCAAGGGT